GGCTTTTGGAAATGGCCTTCGAGGAGGTCGGTCAGACTAGAGTCCCTCCCTTACTTGGGGAATGAAGCCGAGTAGCCATTTCCCTCTGAATCCAACTGAATGGGAACCAACCATTCCCAAATTCCGTCGTCCTAAGGGGAAGAAAGGCAGGACAGCACCTTCTTCGTGTATCTGCCCTGGCGATGATGGCTCGCAGGGCCCTGCCGGTACCGAAGGAGTTGGCTAGATTTGCTAGTTTGCCCACACCTCAACACGGTGAATGGCTGCCCCCCACAGAAGCAGGACATGGATTCGTGGCCAAAGCGAAAGCATGCGAAGGGCTTCTTTACGTCGTGTTTTCCTAAGATTTCTGAAGAGCTTCGTACGTACTGCTTTGAAGTTTTTCATAGGGCAGCAATCGAAACAAAAGCTGCCACACCGTGAAGACAGCCTAGCCCTACGTAACACAGACCCGCAACCCGCAACCCTCAGCGCTAAACCCTAAACCCCAAACCAGGGTTGTAATATCAGGTTGTTTTGGGCATTGGCGCAAAAGAGTTAAACCCATGGCTTGAAAAGATGGGTTAAGTGAAGTTCCCCGCACGCAGACAAAAACAAAAAATCGAAATGGGGTCAGGACAAGAAGGATTCAAACAATGGTGATGTTTGCACCAAAGCAAAACAGTCTTCAGCAGCCGAAGTGGCAAAACGACTGTTGCACCAAGCCTGCCTTGAATTCATCTTGGTCTGATGCATACGGATTATGGTTCAAGACTGTCATTGAATTTTCGAGTCATTTTTTACCCGGTCCAAGAAGCGTCAGTCAGTCTAGTCCATTCAGCAGTTGGTCCTGTCAGTCCTCATCTTCTTGGAGTCTGCAAGCAGTCAGTCCGGCAGTCATTTATTCTGTAGCTTGCCGATCGACTACCTCGACCTCTGCAGCTTCCTTGACGAGCGCGTGCGCGCGCCCAGGGCAGGGCTGAGGGGTTGTCTCTGCTTTCTACTTGTGTCTCTTTCACCTGCACGCTCACCCACGGTCCTCCAGAAGGTCTGCGCCTCTCTATAAGACTATAAGGGGTACATGCTGAGCACAGAGGTTTAAGGCTATAGGATTGGGCCTCAAATGGCCTGGCCATAGACTTTAAACAAAACCCTCGGAAAAAAACTGGAAAGCACCTGAACCCCACTTCAAAAAAGCTGAAATGCGCAAGATGTTCTGAAGGGTCAGTTTCGGGGATTGGGATTCAGGGCTGACGGCTATAGGATCGGGGTGCGTAATGACAAGTATCGAAGCAATGGACGGACGTTGGGCAAGCATGTTCTGGGTGTGAACACACGCGCAAAGCCTCAGTTCGTGAACTCTCTGATGTAGATATTAGAATGTAATGCACATAGGGAAGGACGATGCACAGCGCATGAAAACCTGAAACACCCGTCGAGAGACGAGGGCTTTTGGAATTTGGGCTGTGGGGTTTAGGGTTTAGGGCTTAGGGTTGTCAAGATTTTGTGGGTTTTGCCTGGGGTTTGCAGGGTTTGTTTAGGGGTTGTCGGTTTGAGTGTTTAAGATTTTAGGGGTGAGGGCTTCGGTTTTCAGGTTTAGGGCATAGGGTATAGGGTTTGGGTGAAGGTTATGGGTTTAGGGCATAGGGTAATTTCTTGGGTTTGGGTGAGGGGTGGGGATACCAGGGGAGGGGTTTCGATCGGTGTCAGACGCCAGTCAGTCTCGAACTTGGTGCAGATGGTCTTGGAGACCAGTGCAAAGGCTGCACAGACGATCTTGGTGGACTAAGGGCCTTAGGGTTTGGGGTTTGTTTGTTTGTCTTGCTTGCTTGACTTTATGCCTGACCTTCTGACTTTCACAGGAGCAGCCTACTCTTGGCGGCTTCGGGTTTTACGGGCTTTCGGGTCTAGAGTCACAAGTGCAGAAGGTTTGGGGTTTGTTGTACTTCATGGGCTTCTAGGTTCCAATTGTTCCCGAAGGCAAAAGTTTACCCCACAGCACAAAATTAACACATAATCCCCCCCCCCCCCAAGCTAGTCCACTTCCGCGGATTTCTCCGGAAAGGGCCATCTTGCAGCGGTTCTGCTGGGGCCCGAGACCCCCCAGCCCAGCCCGAAAAAGGCAAGATTTGCCGACTTTTTTTGCCCAAGTCGCCAGGCCAGACCCGCGCATTTTTCCGGAAAAGTCCGCGGAAGTGGCCTGGCGCAGTGCGCCAGGCCAGTTTGGTGATTTTTTGGGGGCTGTCAGCGCGGCATTTCGCAGATTCGAATCCGCAAAATGCGCGCTGACAGCCCCCAAAAAATCACCAAACGGGCCTTGCGCACTGCGCCAGGCCACTTCCGCGGACTTTTCCGGAAAAATGCGCGGGTCTGGCCTGGCGACTTGGGCAAAAAAAGTCGGCAAATCTTGCCTTTTTCGGGCTGGGCTGGGGGTCTCGGGCCTCAGCAAAACTGCAAGATGGCCCTTTCCCGAGAAATCCGTGGAAGCTGTGTGGCGAACTTTTGCCTTCGGTTGGAACCTAGAGGCCCATGAAGTACAACACACCCCAAACCCCCTGCACTTGTGACTCTAGACCCGAAAGCCCGTAAAACCCGAAGCCGCCAAGAGTAGGCTGCTCCTGTGAAAGTCAGAAGGTCAGGCATAAAGTCAAGCAAGCAAGACAAACAAACAAACCCCAAACCCTTAGGCCCTTGGCCCACCAAGTTCGTCCGTGCAGCCTTTGCGCTGGTCTCCAAGACCATCTGCACCAAGTTCGAGACTGGCGTCTGACACCGATCGAAACCCCTCCCCTTGTAATTCCCCCCCCCTCACCCAAACCCAAGAAACTACACTATGCCCTAAACTCATAACCTTCACCCAAACCCTATACCCTATGCCCTAAACCCGAAAACCGAAGCCCTCACCCCTAAAACCCTAAACGCTCAAACCGACAACCCCTAAACAAACCCTGTAAACCCCAGACAAAACCCACAAAACCTTGACAACCCTGAGCCCTAAACCCTAAACCCCACAGCCTAAAAACCCTCGACCCTCGACGGGTGTTTCAGGTTTGCATGCGCTGCGCATCGTCCTTCCCTACGTGCATTACATTCTATCTACATCAAAGAGTTCACGAAGTGAGGCTTTGCGTGTGTGTTCACACCCAGAAGATGCTTGCCCTACGTCCTGCCATTGCTTCTACTTGTGATTACGCACCCCAATCTTATAGCCGTAAGCCCTGAATCCCAAACCCCGAAATTGACCCTTCAGAACATCTTGTGCATTTCAGCTTTTTTGAGGTGGGGTTCAGGTGCTTTCCAGCTTTTTTTCCGAGGGTTTTGTTTAAAGTCTATGGCCAGGCCTGGTCTTTGAGGCCCAATCCTATAGCCTTAAACCTCTGTGCTCAGCATGTACCCCTTATAGTCTTATAGAGAGGCGTAGAAGCGTAGAGCCTCGCACAAAGCCCTCCTGGGGGACGCCTTGGCTGAGCGCGCAGGTGAAAGAGATACAAGTAGAAAGCAGAGACAACCCCTCAGCCCTGCCCTGGGCGCGCGCACGCGCTCGTCAAGGAAGCTGCAGAGGTCGAGGTTGTCGATCGGCAAGCTACAGAAATGACACACTCCAAGAAGATGAGGACTGGCAAGACCAACTAAACAGTTGACTCGAAAATTGAATGACATTGTCTTGAACCATAATTAGTCCGTACGCATCATACCAAGATGAGTGCACGGCCGGCATGGTGCAGCAGTGCGTTGAACTAAGCAGTGCATTGAACTAAGTGAAAAGCCTCCGCTCCCCGACAAATCTGTCCTGGAAGAGCTCGCTGCTGGTCAGCTCGTTGCCGCACTTCGGCTGCGGCTTGAAGACTTTTTGCACTAGTGCAAACATCAATATTTTGGAATCCTTCTTGTCCTGACCTGCCCCCCCCCCCCCCCCCCCCAGTTTTGTCTGTTTTCGCCTGCGTGCGGGTAACGTCACTTAACCCACCTTTTCAAGCCATGGGTTTAATTCTTTCCAAAAAATCCTGATAATACAACCCTGCCCTAAACCCTAAACCCTAAAGCCTAAACCCTAAACCCTAAACCCTCCACCCTAAACACCAGGAAGGTCGGAGCCGACCTAGCATGCCAATCCCCATGCATCCCAAGCCCCCCCCAAGCGACCTTAAAACCACAAAGGACCTTAAACTCCAACGTCCCCCAACCCCCCCCCCCCCCCCCCCCCGACCCCCCGGGCTGTTCTGGGGTTTAGGGTTTAGGGTTTAGGGTTCAGGGTTTAGGGTTTTGGGATTTGAGTTTGGGGTTTGGGTTTTGGGTTTAGGGCTCAAATTTCAGCAACTCGAATGCCTCAAGCAGACGACCTTTACAGCACGGCGCTGAACTTGTATGGGTATGGGCTATGAAGGCGTAGAAGCCATTTAAGGGGATTAACGGTTTCGGGCTTTGGGTTGCAGGTTTAAGGGATGGCTAGGCAGAATTTGGCTTATATAGTAGTTCTTAGCAAAGAATTAGGAAATAGGTGCCTCCTGTCCCCTTATGCAGAACCTTTTAAGGGAGCAAGAGCCCGCATGTTTCAGGGTTAAGGGATCAACCCCAAACCCCAAAACCCTGAACTCTGAACCCTAAACCCTAAACCCTAAACCCTAAACCCTAAAGCGTTTCAGCAAGGTTCGCAAGCACAGCCCACAATTTCGCACCTTACAAAGCCTCACTGGCTGGAGAAGTTGCCAGTGTACTGACAGTTGGGCTTGGGGTTTAGAGTTTAGGGATAGTCTACTAACGTTCCTCAGTAGGGATTTTACTGGGAGAAACTCGAATCCCTGTTAAGGACTGCTAGTTTCAGGGCTCCCAATGCAACCGTGCTATGTGGTTTCGCGTTTACGGGGGTTTAGGGTTGCGGTTCCCCTAAACCCTAAACCCTAAACCCTAAACCCTAAACCCTAAACTCTAAACCCGAAACCCGAAACCCTAAACCCTGAACCCTGAACCCTGAACCCTGAACCCCGAACCCTAAACCCTAAACCCTAAACCCTAAACCTCAGGGACCACCTGGTCGGTCATGGAGAGGGCGTCCATGCTGGTAGTCGTGCCCCCGGTGGGCTACGCGTGGCTCTCAGCTTTCCTGGCGGCTCTACGGTTTGGGCTTAGGGTTTCGGATTAGGGTTTGGGGTTTGGGGTTTAGGGTTTGGGGTTTGGGGTCTGGGGTCTGGGGTTTAGGGTTTCAGGGTTTCGAGCTTAGGGTTTGGGGTTCGGGGTTTAGGGTTTAGGGCTGCACGTGGCTCTCAGCTTTCCAGAAAAGGAGGGTTCGTGGGGTTTTGGGGGCTTTAGGGTTTGGGGTTTGGGGTCCAGTGTTTGGGGTTTAGGGTTTGGGTTTTGGGGTGTAGGGTCTTGGGGTTTTGGGGTTTTGGGGTTTTTGGAGTTTACAGCCCTATTCAGCCCTCATCTTTGATTTAAGTCCTAAGCACCAAACTCAGATACGAGCTGCTCAATGCAAAACCCCTTCAACCCTGAAAGCCTTAAACCCTGAATCCCATAACGCATAAACCCTCCAACCCTTAAATCTTAAATCCCTGAACCCTTATATCCCCAAAACACCTTACGCATAGGGGCTGGGTGGTTAACCTGCAACCTTTTTGGTCATATGGAGGTTTCCGAAATAAAACAGGGTACCCTTTTAGGGGGCCCCTTTAAGGGGATTCTGTTCTATTTTGGGTATGAAGAGGGTACCCCTACTTTGGGAAATGCCCATATGTAGCCCTATTACAACTAGAAGGCTAACCTTTTTAGGGTTTAGGGTTTAGGGTTTAGGGTTTAGGGTTTAGGGGCTAGGGTATTCAGCCCCCAAGCAAAGTCTGGGCCCCCGGTGCCCCCCGAAGCTGAGCCGCACGCGCGAAGCGCCGCGTCTTGCCGCAGGTCTTCCCGCCACAGTGCGAAGCCAGAGATGTGCCACGGCTTGTGATGTGCCCGAAACCCTACACTCTAAACCCGAAACCCCAAACCCCTAAACCCTAGGCCCTATACCCTAAACCCAGGACCCTAAACCCTAAGTCCTAAGTTTGGAAGTTAGGGCTTGAAAAGGCGCATCTGGCGGGACTCGTTGAAACGCCCCGAACTCCTCTAAACCCTAAACCCTGAGCCCCAAGCCCGAAGCCCCAAGCCGCAAGCCCGAAGCCCTAAGCCCTAAGCCCCAAGCCCCAAGCCCTAAGCCCCAAGCCCTAAACCCTAAACCCTAAACCCTAAGCCCTAAACCCTAAAACTTAGCTTTGATCCTTATTGAAAACTTGGCCATAGGCCCTGCTGAGCCGAGGTGCAGGCAGGGTTCCTGGCTGTTCTTTAGGGTTTAGGGTTTAGGGTTGAGGGTTTAGGGTTTAGGGTTGAGGGTTGAGGGTTGAGGGTTGAGGGTTTAGGGGTGTTTTAGGGTTGAGGGTTTACAGCTTATCTAGGGATTTGGGTTTAGGCTTAGAGACCAAGGACCCTGACAGAACGCCTGAAACCCTTCATGGAAGAGCTCTTATCACTACGTGCACCCTGGGCCCTGAAGCCTGAAAACCCGTACAAAACACCGTCTTGGGTTCTGAAGGTACTACGCCCTAAGCCCTACTACCCCCATGCATTGCATCCTTGCAGCCAAAAACCCAAGCCCTGAAACCCTCAACCTTGTCCCGGCCCCCTCTCCCTGTAATCCTTGTATGCCCCTCCCCGCCCCCCCTCCCGGCCAAACCCTAAACCCCAAACCCCAAACCCGCCGCCAAACCCTAAACCCTAAACCCCAAACCCCTAAACCCTAAACCCTAAACCCTAAACCCTAAACCCTAAGCCCTAAGCCCTAAACCCTAAACCCTAAACCCTAAACCCTAAACCCTAAACCACCAAACCCCAAAAACCCTAAACCCTAAATCCTAAACCCTAGACCGTCCCTCCGTGGCTGCTCAGGTGCTTGCACCTTCGACGCTGAGTGGCTCCGGCTTGCCACGAACTTGGCAGCGGTTGGAGCTCCTGGGTTTAGGGTTTAGGGTTTTGGGTTTAGGGTTTTTTAGGGTTTTTTAGGGTTTAGGGTTTGTAGGGTTGAGGGTTTAGGGTTTAGGGCTGAGGGTTTAGGGTTTAGGGCTGAGGGTTTACGGTTCAGGGTTGAGGGTCAGCCACTACAAGCCCTGTGAAGTCTGCAAGCCTCCAGCTGCCGGCCCGGCGCCCTAAACCCTAAACCCTAAACCCTAAACCCTAAACCCTAAACCCTAAACCCTAAACCCTAAACCCTAAACCCTAAACCCTAAACCCTAAACCCTAAACCCTAAACCCTAAACCCCAAACCCCAAACCCCAAACCCCAAACCCTAAACCCTGAAAACGGTGCGGTGCGGCGGCGGTGCGGCGGCCACCGCAGCCAAGTGCCCTGCAGCACCACAGCACCACAGGCACCACAGCACCACAGCGCCACAAGCACGACTTGTAGTAGCCACGGAGCATCCGGTTCCCGACACTGTTCCCATGGCGCTCCTGAAGGCGTGGGTGGTGGGAATCTGCGTCCTCCTGGCGCCTGGGGGTGGCGACGGTGACCTCCAACGCGACATCGTCGGTGGGGGGGGCGGAGGAGGTGGCACCGGAGGAGGCGATGGTTGCAGCGGCGGCACCCGTCGCTGCGCATGGCAGGGCTGGTTCCAGAAATTGGGTATTTCCCATAATGGGGTACCCCTTTTATACCCCAAGTAGAATGAATCCCCTCAAAGAAGCCTTCAAAAAGGGTACCCCTATTTTCGGCAACCCCCATTTGTTGAGTTATACCCCAAAATAGAATGAATCCTTTAGGGTTTAGGGTTTCGGGTTTAGGGTTTAGGGTTTCGGGTTTAGGGTTTAGGGTTTAGGGTTTAGGGTTTTGATAGAAGCTCCCAAAAGGGGCACCCCGTGTTTTCGGAAGGCTCCCATTTGTTGAGAGGGAAGCACCGGTTCAGACACCCACAGCTATGGATCAAGGTCACTGCCTGCTGATACCCTAAACCCTAAACCCTAAACCCTAAACCCTAAACCCTAAACCCTAAACCCTAAACCCTAAACCCTCATGTAACTTGGTGCCCAAGAGGCCCTTTTACACCTTTTGTTTGTAGTTCTAACCACCCCCCAACACAATGTGATTCCGGGGCTGCTTACCCTACACCCTGATTACGACCTGGTTACAGGGCTGCCAAGTCTAAGTATCTGTAAGTAACTTAGGGTTAAGGATTAGGGATTAGTAATTTAGGATTCAGGGCTTATAGGGTTTAAGGTTTAGGGTGTCAACCCTTCCCTGAAGGATGTTGTGAAATAAGCGTGGTATGCGATCAGGCCGCCGCCCTATGAATGCCGCGGCGTGACGACGGGTGTGCCTTGCCCAATGGGAATTTCGGGTTTTGGGGCTCGGGCTCGGGCTGCGCAGGTTTGTAGGGTTTAGGGTTTGGGTCGTGGGATGTAGACGGCCTTGTGTTGAGGTTTTGGGAGCCTTGCCGCATGATGTTTCATGGGGGCTCTCGGGTAGTTTCGAGGCCTTGCTTTCTCTGGTAGGCCCGTTGGATATTTGACATTTTCCCTTGTTGGGTTGAAGAGGGTTATATTTAGGAAGTTTTTTTAGGGCAAGGTTCTAGAGCAACAGAAATGGAGCCCACGTCCAAAGGGTTGAACCCTCATTCGGGTTTTGGGGCTTAGGGTTTAAGGTTTAGGGTTTAGGGTCTTGGGTTTAGGGTTTAGGGTTTAGGGACATACGTGGTGGGTGTAGATCATGGGTTGTGTTCACGGTTTGGCCTTGCACCTGGGTCTGTGGCGACTACGTCCTGCCAGGGAGGTTGAGTTCGCTGGTCTTTCGCCTGGGCTTGCTGCCACTGTCACTGGTTCGGGCAGTACCATGCTCCAGCTCCTCCTGGAGGGCAGGCCTTGGGAATACCGCACTCGCCTTGTTACCTACACTGTCGCAGAGACGCTGCAAACCTTGGTGGAGTATGGGGGCCAACGCCAACTCCATGACGACTGGGGGCTGTACGCTTTTGCGGTTGTGCTGCAGCTCAGTGCGCACTTCACCTTGCGGACATCTCCAAGTCGAATCTTGCAGTCAAGCCTGGCAGCCATTCCACAGCCTGGGAGTTTGTGGGTGTTGACCAGGGTGAATGGCCCTCCACGTACTCTCTGAGATCCTTTGTTCAGTGCCTCAGTAGAGTATGCAATGTAGACCAGCTGCGGCCTTTCCTCCAAAGGCAGAGGTTGGAGACATGTTTGAAGGCTGTGGTTGCCCCGCTCCCAGGACCTCTCATTGCCAACCTGAAGCGGCAGCACGTGATACAGGGCAAGCCTCTGGGCCCCTGGAATCACTTAAGGCAGCTGGCTGGCCCTAACCGCTAGGTCCTAGGTTTTGGTTCTCCAAACCTGGCCGGTACTGCTTGTCGAATAGGGCGAGACGCATTCAGTTCAGGCCCTAAACCCTGAACCCTGTTTACGCCGTTTACGACGGCGGTCAGGCTCAGCATAAACCCTGAACCCTCAATCCGGAACCCTAAACCCTATAAACCCTAAACTCGAAGCCGTAACCCGAAACCCTAAACCGCCCCAGACATGGCAGGAGCGAGTCCATACAACATCTTGAGCCTAGAGCTTTGGAGGGTTCTGGGTTTACAGCTCAGGGTTTAGGGTGATTACAGGTACATCATGTACATCCTACACCCGCTTCCAAACCCTAAGCCCTATCCCAAATCCGAAACTCTAAACCCTAAACCTCCGAATGGTCTCTAGCAGAATCCACAAACCCTAAAACCCTAAATCTACATCAATGAAACCCTAAAAACGCTAAAGCCCTCAACCCCGAAACCCTAAACCCCTAAACCCCTAAAACCCTAAAACACTAAAACCCTAAACCCCTAAAACCCTAAAACCCCTAAAACCCTAAAACCATAAAACCCTAAAGCCCTAAAACCCTAAAACCCTAAAACCCTAAAACCCAAGACCCCAAAACCCTTAAAACCCTAAAACCCTAAAACACTAGAACCCTAAAACCCTAAACCCCTAAACCCCTAAAACCCTAAAACACTAGAACCCCAAACCCCTAAAACCCTAAAACCCCTAAAACCCTAAAACCATAAAACCCTAAAACCCTAAAACCCTAACACCCTAAAACCCTAAAACCCTAAAACCCCAAAACCCTAAAACCCTAAAACCCTAAACCCCAAAACCCCAAAACCCCAAAACCCTAAACCCTAAACCCTAAACCCTAAACCCTAAACCCTAAACCCTAAACCCTAAACCCCAACCCATATTTCCCCGGGGGCTCGCCGCCGGCCGAGGCCTACTCAAATGCCACGCTTCTCCTCATCGAAGCCCAGGACCTCCCCGGATGGTAGGGTTCGGGGTTTGGGGTTTGGGGTTTTAGGGTTTCGGGTTTAGGGTTTAGGGTTTAGGGTTTTGGGTTTCGGGTTTAGGGTTTAGGGCTTGGGGTTTAAGGTTTGGGGTTTAAAGGTTTGGGGTTTAGGGTTTGGGTTTTGGAGTTTAGGGTTTAGGGTTCAGGGTTTAGGGTTTGGAGCTGATTTCAACTCAGCGCAGGAGTTGTTCCTCTCGCTCCTTTTTGGGGGGATTTCATGAATGAATCCTTCCAAGAGGGTGACTCCCCGCGGGGCACGCGGGAGCGGCCGTTTCGGCGCTCAAAAGGTTTCTCCCCCGACTGCGGTCGAGACTTTACTTTGCCACTCAACTCTACTCCAACTGGTGATGGCGAGTAGCCCTAAACCCTAAACCCTAAACCCTAAACCCTAAACCCTAAACCCTAAACCCTAAAAACCCTAAAAACCCTAAACCCTAAACCCTCTCGGGCGGTCCCGCGCCCGTGGGCTCCCGTACAAGGCATGGCGGGGGCAGCCTTCTCCGGTCGCCACTTTCGTACAGGCATTGCCATTCGGCTTCGGTGATGTCATCATCAAGAAGCATTGCAAAATACTCTTCTATAACCCTCAGCCACGCGAAGGAACTTCTCAGAACTCCAGGAACATTGACTTGGGAGCTCGCAGGGTTTGGAAGTGTGCAGGGCTTGTAGGGATTCTTGGCAGCCCGGTGATACCCTGTACCCTTTTTTGGGTGTTCAAGGTTCCCTTATAAAGTAGCCAACCCCAAAAAGGGTGCCCTTATTATGACATGGTTACGGGCTGCCAAGGTTTTTACGGGGTTTTCCAGACCCAAGGGCTGGCAGGGTTTGGGGGCTGTAGTGTTTTAGGGTTTGGGGATGAGGGGTTCTGGGGTTGGCTTTTTCAAGGTTTAGGGTTGAGGGATTAGGATTTCGGGCTTGGGGTTTAGGGTGCAGGGTTTCGGGCTTAGGGCAGATTAGGCTTTAGGATGTAGGGACGTTCAAGATTGAAGGGCTGGAAAGGGGAGGGTGTTATGTTAAGGGGGGGTAAGCCATATAGCCCCTGAGGTTACTAGTTCTGTATAGTCGGTATATACCTTCTCCCCGCTAGACCCTAAACCGTGAACCTATACAAACCCTAAACGCTAAACCCTAAACCCTAGACCCTAAACCCTATCCCCCCGACAACCCTTAAGGGACTTTACAGGGTACCTAGGCACCAAGTTCCTTACAGCACCCGGAAGGCTTGCTTTCCCACTTGGAGTTTCATGGTGCTTATGAGCCCATTATAACTGTACTGTTCATAAGTACCCTTAAACTCTAAACCCTAAACCCCATAAGTACAGTTTTTGTTGGTTACTAAGTACCATGAACTTCCAAGTGCTTTCCCAGACCTTTGGCTGTCCTTTGTTGAGGAGAGCTTCCGCAGCGGCATGCTGCTGAAGGATCAGGAGTACAAGGCCTTGACAACCCTAAACCCCAAACCCCAAACCCCAAGCCCCAAACCCTCAACCCTAAACCCTAAACCCCAAACGCTATATAAACCCCAAACCCTAAACCCCCATCCCTTAGCCCTAAACCCTAAACCCTAAACTTGATTGTCTGAACCCTACATACCTTCAGCCCCTTCAGCCCTTATAACTGAATTTTTTCGCCACAGCTATAGCGCATTCATGCCTTCATTCATTGTAGTCATGACTTAGTAGTTTGTGTAGCCTAGAAGAAGGTATGTAGGCGATGCCAGCATGCGGAGACAACGCGCCCACGTTGTCACCCCTTGCAAACTTGGACTGCGACAACCTGCTGGGAGAAAACTTCATCGAGGGGCGATTAGGGTTTAGGGTTTAGGGTTTAGGGTTTAGGGGAAGGCCTTCATGTCGCCCAAGACAGTGACATTGCATGGCAAAGGCTTGCAGTCGGCCACGATCGGCAGAGTCTTGGTGAGGCAAAGCAGCTGGTGGAAGATCGGCGAAAATGACCTGGTTCGGGGTTTAGGGTTTAGGGTTTAGGGTTCAGGGTTCAGGGTTCAGGGTTTGGGGTTTAGGGCGTATAGGGCTTTGGGTTGGCCTGGCTCCAGATTGGCCGCAAGCCGAAAGTCCAGGTGCCATAAATCAAGCCTCCATCAAAGCAGGTCCCTAAACCCTGAACCCTGAACCCGAAACCCTGAACCCTAAACCCTAAACCCTAAACCCTAACCCCTAAACCCTAAACCCTAAACCCTAAACCCTAAATCCCGAAACCCGACACCCTAAACCCTTAATCCCCTAGGGATTTAGGGCTGCGGGTTTTATTGTGGAGGCAGACACGTGGGGCTCGGGCTACCAAGATCCTCAACCCGCATCCCCGCAGACTGCATGCATAATGCATAACCCGTAAATCCCCAAACCCCTAAACCCCTTAACCCCTAAACCCCTAAACCCCTGAACCCCTGAAGCCCTGAACCCCGGAATCCCTGAACAACTGAATTCTGAACCCTAGACTCCTACACCGACACCCATGACCCTCCCGGTACTTGAGCTGAGAACCCTAAGCGAAGCCTTGATGAACCTCGAAGCTTTAAGCCCTGAAACTAAATCAACAGGCAACCGCAATTCAGAAACCCGAAGCCCTATACGCCCTAAACCCCAAACCCTAAACCCTAGACCCTAGACCCTAGACCCTACACCCTAAACCCTAGACCCTGAACCCTAAACCCTGAACCCTAAACCCTAAACCCTAAACCCTAAACCCTAAACCCTAAACCCTAAACCCTAAACCCTAAACCTAAACCAGGTCAGGCTGCTGGTTCGCAACGCCCTTTTCAACGCCGGCGAGCTCGAGAACGGCTGGCGGCTTCTCACCCGCCCCATGTCGTTCATTGGAGGGTTTGAAGGGTTGAGGGTTTGGGTTTAGGGTTTAGGGTTTAGGGTTTAGGGTTTAGGGTTTAGGGTTTAGGGCTTAGGGCTTAGGGCTTAGGGTTTAGGGTTTAGGGTTTAGGGTTTAGGGTTTAGGGTTTAGGGTTTAGGGTTTAGGGTTTAGGGTTTAGGGTTTATGGTTCATTGGGTTAAGGCTTCGGGTTTGAAGGATTCAGGGTCTGGGTTTAGGGTTTAGGCCTACACCCCAAGCCCGAAACCATAAACCCTAAACCCTAAACCCCAAACCCTGGATGACGATCATCCTGATTGGAGTTCCGAACCCAAAACCCAAAACCCAAAACCCAAAACCCTAAACCCTAAACCCCTAAACCCTAAACCCTAAACCTTAAACCCTAAACCCTAAACCCTAAACCTTACGTCCCAAACCCTGGAAACCCTGAGCCGAATGCCAATACGCTCGTGGATATCCTAGGTTTAGGGTTTAGGGCTAGGGTTTAGGGTTTAGGGTCTTGGGTTTAGGGTTTAGGGTTTAGGCTTTAGGCTTTAGGGTTTTATTCACAACACGCTTGATCGTGTAAGGGGAGGCTCTTTCTTTCAATGATTGACATGTCGAATGCCTCGCCCTAAGCCTTGAACTCTCAACCCTGCCTCAGCCTCAGAAGCCTACCCAGTGGAACATTTAGGGAAGTCAGAGCAAGGCCTGGGCAAAAAAAGAAAAACAAAAAGCATTAAAAAAAAAAGAACGTTAAAAAAACATAGTTTTTAAAGGCAAAGCATAAGGAAGTCAGAGTATGGGGGGTTTCCGATAAAGGGACCTCTCATACAGACCCCCCAAAGAGTAGGAATCCCTTATCATACGGACCCCGATAAGGTACGCCTAAATTCCGGAAACCCTCATCTGGAGTCCTAAACGCGTAGCTTTGGGCTGCAGGTAAGTCCCTAAACCCTAAACCCTAAACCCTAAACCCTAAACCCTAAACCCCAAACTCCAAACTCCAAACCCCAAACCCCAAACTCCAAACCCCAGCAGCAGAAACTCCGAGGCTGGGCCGAGTCCATGGACTCTTTCGTGACCCTGCACCAGGCCACTCTTTTTGTCTAGCGGTTTAGGGTTTGGGGTTTGGGGTTTGCGGTTTGGGGTTTGGGGTTTAGGGTTTGGGGTTTGGGGTTCAGGGTTTAGGGTTTAGGGTTTAGGGTGCAGCAGCTCATACACCAGCTTTCGCTTGTCCAGCTCTGTTGGTCTAGCGACGGAGCAGTACCCACCCACCCAGAGGACCCCACAATGTGAAGAACATACAAAGTTTGACATCTTTTCCACGCGACAAATCGCACGAACACAACATCCTGAACTCATAAGCCCTGAACCTGAAACTCATAGGCCCTCATCTTAAAGTTTAAACTCTAAACTTTCAATCTAAACCCTAAACCTGAAACACTAGGCGCCGAACCAGCTGGTGCCGATTGACCGGACATATGCTGAATGCTGGTGCCGATAAACACAACACTCTAAACCCTTAAACCCTGAAACAGGATAGCATGCATAAACCCTCAAACCCTTAAACCCTTAAACCCTTAAACCCTTAAACCCTTGAACCCTTGAACCCAAAAACCCTTAAACCCTTAAACCCTAAACCGGTAAGAGAGGGTTTCGGTTTGCGGGGTTAGGGTCTCCTGAGGAAGGATATTCAGTGTTGTGTAGGGTGTAGGGTTTTGGGTTGGACACCCGTGGAGATACTTAAAGCCATAGTTTCTTACTTGGAGGTTCAGGGTACTTATAACCCCAATTACAACTGCACATATAAGCCCCCTAAGTCCTCTAAGTAGGCAAACAGTAGAATGAAAAATGGGGTTAGAAGTACCCATGAACCTCCAAGTAGGGGCTATTAAAGGGGTAGGAAAATCACGCATAGTATTCCCTTATGGCCTCTATAGAAATATGCTAAACGCCAAACCCTAAACCCTGAACCCTCCCTAAACCCACATGGAATCCTACAGTTTGGGGTCTGCGCCGGCATTGTTTTTATTCTGGCGCGAAGGCGACCCGGAACTCGAACCATGAGCCTTGTGGCTTTAGGGTTCAGGGTTTAGGGTTTAGGGTTCAGGGTTTAGGGTTTAGGGTTCAGGGTTCAGGGTTTAGGGTTTAGGGTTTAGGGTTTAGGGCTAGAAGCCCATCATTTCCACCATCCCTGCTTCGTCGAGGCGACCATCCCAGGCTTTGCGCTCAGCGCGATGCAGGAGCGGAGGGCCTGGGTCAAGGGTTTAAGGGTTTAGGGTGTTGGGTTTAGGGTTTAGGGTTTAGGGTTTAGGGTTTAGGGTTTAGGGTTTAGGGTTTAGGGTTTAGGGTTGAGGGCTAGGACACTGGGGTCACGACTGCCCAAAGGCTATTTGTCCTTGGGATGGATCCTGGACTGGGTTTGGTGCCCGCAGCTACCTTGGTCAAACAAGTCCCAACGAACCTACCTGGACTAAACCCTAAACCCTAAACCCTAAACCCTAAACCCTAAACCCTAAACCCTAAACCCTGAACCCTAAACCCTAAACCCTAAACCCTAAACCCTAAACCCTAAACCCTAAACCCTAAACCCTAAACCCTAAACCCTAAACCCTAAACCCTTCATTATTTCCCCCTGAATCCTAGACCCTAAATCCCCCTCCCCCCCCCCCCCCCCCCCCCCCCCCCCCCCCCCCCCCCCCCCCCCCCCCCCCCCCCCTCCCCCGCCCCCTCCTCCCTCCCCCCTCCCTGTTGGTTCCTTATGATAGAGGCTGCCCCTTGCATTGCAGCAAGGTTCAGGGTTCAGGATTCAGGGTTCAGGGTTTAGGGTTCAGGGTTTGGGGTTTAGGGTTTGGGGTTTGGGGTTTAGGATTTGGGTTTGAGGTTCATAAGGGTTTGGGGTTCAGGGCTTAGGTTTTGGACCCTACACCATAAACCCTAAACCCCGAAAATTGCTTATGGACTGCCCGGTTACACGGTGTGGTTTAAACGGGTGCCCAGACAACCCTCGTTCCTTTGTGTTTGGTAGGTTTACCTTGTTTATATCTCGTCTGCTTAGGAGATAGGGTTTATTCTATGCCTAGGTCACTCGTGAAACCAGACATGCGCTCTAAACCCAACACCTAAACCCTAGGCCCAGGCCCTCGGCCCTAGCCCCTAGACTCAACCGCTACAGGCAGCAATCCAGCCCACCAGTGTCAACCCGGGCACCTTCCATATCCTCAATGTGACGGTTTCGCCTCGGAATGACTGCTGGGGGGGTGGGGGGGGGGGGGGGGGGTGGGGCGCGAAGTGGGGGGTTTAGAGTTTAGGGTGTTTTGGGGTCTAGGGGTTGGTCATCAAGGGGAGGAGGGGGCACGTTCGGGGTGTTTACAGCCACTCAGGGCTTGGGTTGGTCCTAACCCTAAAGTGACCCTAAAGCCTTTTTTGGGGCTACATGTAGTTTTGGGGGTTTAGATGCAAGGGTTTAGGGGCTTCGGGCTTCGGGTGTTGCGGGTTCAGTGTTTCGAGTTTAGGGTTTAGGGTTGAACCCTAACAGCCGCAGTCCAGTCCTTCAAGGCTTCGGGTTGGGGGCTTCGCAATTCGGTTTGGCTTTAAGGCGTTGGAGTATTATAGGGAGTAGCAGCTTAAAGGTGTTTAGGGTTATGTCGGTGTCTTGCTGCTGTTTGGCAGAAGTTTGTTCCGACACGCTGGCCAGTCTCACTGCTACTCAACTCTAAACCCTAAACCCTAAATCGAGGGAAGTTGCTATGAGCAGGAGCCGCATCCACGCAAACCTGGATTTGCTCTCACTCCTACTCGTCCGACTAGCCTCGGACCACACGCTCGCCACCAACGACCTGGCCATTAGCATGCGAAAGGACCGCCTAAGGCAAGACGGGCATCGACTCCCCCATGATGAGTCGGTACATGGGCTGGGCCTGTGCAGGCTACGTCGCCGGCAAGCAGAGCTCGGGAATCGCAAACCTCTACTTGATCGGAGTATGTTTCGATTCTTCCCATGGATGCCGACACGCATCATGAGACTGCATGCGCCATCCTCGCAGAACCGTGGCAACCTGCGCGCAGGAGTATTTCAGAGGAGTCTTAGGGCCTTCGAGCCTTAGCCGCCCCTAAAACGAATACCCTGATCCGAAACCCTGCACCCTGCAACCGTCCCTAGACACCAAACCTTGAACCCTGCTTCAGGCCTTGGGACTTACGGTGTAGGGCTTAGGGGTTTAGGGTAAAGGGCTGAAAAGGGTGCAGTGTCAGTGTAGGGCTCATAGATTTACGGTTGAGGGTTTAGGGTTAGGATTTGGGGTTTAGGGTTTAGGGTTTAGGAGTTGGGGTTTGGGATTCAGGGCCTGATTGAAAGGAGACGTCGCTGCTGACAGGGTCTGCTCCTGGTGACGCCAGGCTGCTAGTCGGGACCTCGGTGGGGCTCTCGACGATGGATTTGGTTCCGGGTTTTGGGGGTTGGGGGTTTAGGGTTTAGGGTTTAGGGTTTAGGGTTTAGGGTTTAGGGCCCCGGGCTTTGCGTTCCAGAATTTTTTGTTTTGGCGACCGGCAGACCTGGCCGCTCGATGTCAGTCGCGAACAGTGCTGGGGTGCCTTTGCAGGAAGGTCTGTAGCCCTAAACCCGATACCCGAAGACCTTAACCCTAAACCCTACACCCTAAACCCTAAACCCTAAACCCTAAAACCCTAAACCCTAAGCCCTAAGCCCTAAGCCCTAAGCCCTAAGCCCTAAGCCCTAAGCCCTAAGCCCTAAGCCCTAAACCCTAAACCCTGAGATCCGAGCTTCCAGGCCCTGCTTCTTGTGGCGCCCCGGGGCACGGAGCTCACCTGCGCCGGCGCGGAGCCCTGGGGTTTAGGGTTTAGGGTTTAGGGTTTAGGGTTTAGGGTTTAGGGTTTAGGGTTTAGGGTTTAGGGTTTAGGGTTTAGGGTTTAGGGTTTAGGGACCCTAAGAACTTAATCCTTAGCCCATCCTTAACTCTTAATTAGCCCTAAACCCTGAACCCTCACTTTCTTAGCCCCAAGCCCTAAACCCTAAACCCGAAACCCTAAACCCTAAACCCCAAAACCCAAAAACCCAACCCTAACTTTAGGCCTTCTGCGAACTTGTCTGGGGCTAAGTACTGTGGATTTTGGGGCTTGAGGCTTGGGAAGTCTATTTCGGGGCTTTCAGGTTCTGTAGGGTTTAGCCCTAAACCCTACGCTTTGAACCCTCGGTGCTTGAGGTGTTGGGGTTCACAAGGCCAATCGAAGGGCCTTGAGGGTCTCGTGCAGTTCTCAAGTTCTTTGAGCGTCCAAAGTCCGAAGACCCTCAACCCTAGTAAACCTTGAACCCCAAATCCTCAGCCCTAACCACAAACTTGTAAACCCGAAAAAGCCTCAAACCTCAACCCTGAGCCCTCAGCCCTAAACCCCAAACTTGTAGTCCCGAAACTTGCAACCCTAAACCTCAGATCCTAAACCCTGAACCCTAAACCCTAAACCCTAAACCCTAAGCCCTAAGCCCTAAACTTAAACCCTAAACCCTAAACCCTAAGCCAGGCTTCCTCCCTGGCAGCTTGGGGGGCGGAAGCGGCCCGGGCGGCTGGGTGGACGCCGAGCGCATCGCCTGCACCACGCAGGCAGAGTTGAGGGGTTTAGGGTTTAGGGTTTGGGGTGTAGGGTTTAGGGTTTAGGGTTTAGGGTTTAGGACAAAGAGTTTAGGGTTTAGGGTTCAGGGGTTCGGGGTTTAGGGTTTGGGGTTTAGAGTTTAAGGGAGGGTTTGGGGTCTGCGGGTTTCGGGTTTGTGGTTTTTGTGGTTTTGGGCGTAGGGCTTGATCTTTTGGTCGGGATTTGAGGTTTGGGGGCTTAGGGTTGCGGGTTTCGGGCTAGCAGTTTAGCGTTGAGGGTTCAGGGAGGCAAGCTACAGGGTTTAGGAGGGTTGGGGTTCAGGGCTTAGGATAGGAGAGTTGAAGATTCGCTGAGGTTAAGCTAGAGTATAGAGTTCAGTACTGAGGGTTTTCAAGAAGGTTCAGACCCTAGATGCTGTATAGACCCTAAGCCCTTGAATTGCACTTTTGGGGTGGAGGGTTTATGTTTGGGTTCGAGGGTGGAAAAGTGTTTGAAATGCCCTATTTTTTTGGGTTTCGGCTTTAGGATTTAGCGTTTCGGGTTTACCGTAAAGCCCAGTTCTTTTGCCAATCGAAGAGATCAGGCCGAAGATCTTGTGGGGGAAAGGGTTTTAAAGTTGGTTTTTTAGGGTTTAGGGTTTAGGGGTTTAGGGTTTAGGGGTTTAGGGGTTTAGGGGTTTAGGGGTTTAGGGGTTTAGGGGTTTAGGGGTTTAGGGGTTTAGGGGTTTAGGGGTTTAGGGGTTTAGGGGTTTAGGGGTTTAGGGGTTTAGGGGTTTAGGGGTTTAGGGGTTTAGGGGTTTAGGGGTTTAGGGGTTTAGGGGTTTAGGGGTTTAGGATCTGAGGTTTAGGGTTGCAAGTTTCGGGACACTAAACCCTAAACCCTAAACCCTAGGCTTTCCGGCAAGCTGGGGGTTCCCAGTAAACTCGATTCAGGATTTTGCCTGCTGCTAGCCTTCATCCATCCACCCACCCAGCCATCAATTCACAAAGCGGCTTCGGGTTTAGGGTTCAGGGTTTAGGGTTTAGGGTTCAGGGTTTAGGGTTCAGGGTTCAGGGTTTAGGGTGTAGGGTTTTGGGGCAGGTTTAGGGCTTAGGGTAATGTTAGGCTTTCGGGTTTAGGGTTAGGGCTTTAGGGCATCCAAAGAAGCCTCGCAACCGGCCGTAGCTCTTGCTGTACTTATCACCCACGTGCAAGCCCTTAACAAAGTGCCCTAATATGGTTACTAAGTACAGTTATAAGTACAGTGATAACCTTAAACCGTAAACCCCAAACCCCAAACCCCTAACCCCTAACCCCTAAACCCTAAACCCCAAATTGGCTAATAAGTACCATGAACCTCCAAGCAGGCCTTGCTGCCTACCGAGGGTCCGTGCGCTGATCCCGGGATCCCAGCGGCGGGCTCGGTTTCTGGGTTGGGGTTTGGGGCTTAGGGTTTTGGGTTTACGGTTTTGGAGTGCTATATTGTTTTTTGGCTCTGGGTTCCTAAAAGGGCACATGCTTTTTTTCCAGGGTCTACTCCAAAGTAAGGGTTTTGTGTTTTTTTTCATGGCCGGGGCTTCCTTGGCGCGTTTAGGTTTTTAAAGTTTTGGGGGTTTTGGGGCTTAAGGTTTTAGGGTTTCAGGGCTTTGGGGTTCAGGGTTTAGGGCTTCAGGGCTTTGCCGCTTTGCGGCCTATGCTTCGGGTCGAATTCGGGTTTGAGGCTTTCATGAGCACCCTGAACCTTGGAAACGTGACCCTGAGACCGAAGCCACCTGCAACCCTGAACCTTAACCCTAAATCCTCAGCGCCCATACCCTCAACCTTCAGGCGCAAATCTGCAAACGCCCCCACCCCCACCCGCCCAACCCCTAAACCGCCTCCAGACTCTGCAAAACAACCCCTCTGCGAGCCCTAGAGCCGAAACCCTAAACCCTAAACCCTAAACCCTAAGCCCTAAACCCTAAACCCTAAACCCTAAACCCTAAACCCTAAACCCTAAACCCTAAACCCTAAACCCTAAACCCTAAACCCTAAACCCTAAACCCTAAACCCTAAACCCTTCCACTCCGAACCTGAAGCCGAAGAAGACGCAGCTGGAGGTCTCTCCAGGCCTCTGGAGCATGCCGTGGCCTGAGCTTGCGTCTTTTTTGCGCAGGAAAGCGCTGTAGTTTAGGGTTTTGGGTTTAGGGTTTGGGGTTTAGGGTTTGGGGTAGGTTTGGGGTTTAGGGTTTGGGGTTTGGGGTTTGGGGTTTAGGGTTTAGGGTTTAGGGTTTAGGGTTTGGGGTTTGGGGTTTGGGGTTTGGGGTTTGGGGTTTGGGGTTTGGGGTTTGGGGTTTGGGGTTTGGGTTCAGGGTTCAGGGTCAGTAAAGCACCATAACACTACGGCCCCCTTAGGGTTTAGAGTTTATAGGGTTTAAAGTTTAGAGTTTATAGGGTTTAGGGTTTAGGGTTTAGAGCTTATAGGGGCTAGAGTTTAGAGTTTGTAGGGTGTAGGGTTTTGGGTTTATGGGGTTTAGGGTTTAGAGTTTATAGGGTTTAGTGGTTTTGGTTTATATGCAAAGCCCAAGGGAATGTTTTTTTTTGCGCAGTAAAGCACTGTACGTAGCCCCCTGCAGGGTTTCGGGGCTTAGGGGCTTAGGGGTTCGGGCTTAGGGTGTTTTATTGTTGTGTATATAAAAAACCCAAGGGAATATTCAGAAAAAAAAACATGCTTATGAAGGTTCTAAGGGGAGAACCGGCCAGGATTCCCACTAGCAACGTAGGGTTCAGGGTTTAGGGGCTTTGGGTTTAGGGCTTAGGGCTTAGGGTGGTTAAACCCTCAACCCTCAACCGTAAACCCCTAACCCCTAACCCCTAACCCCTAACCCCTAAACCCTAAACCCTAAACCCTAAACCCTAAACCCTAAACAAGTAGCGAAGCGGCAGCCGAGTCTCGTGGGACCCCGAGGTGCTTGGCAGCACCTCGGCGACCCCTGTGGGGCACAGGCTTCCGACAGATTAGGGTTTAGGGTTTGGGGTTTAGGGTTTAGGGTTTGGGGTTTAGGATTTAGGGTTAGGGTTTAGGGTTTAGGATTGGGGTTTAGGGTTTAGGGTTTAGGATTTGGGGTTTAGGGTTTAGGGTTGAGGGCCTCCCCTAAGCCTTCATCCCTGAGCGCAAGGTTTAGGGGCGCGGTAGTGGCTTCGGAGTTGGGGGAATTGGGTTTGGGGTTTAGGGTTTGTTTGTCTGAAGTTGGCCCCTGTAGACATGTAAATATCGTGCGTCAGCTCCATGACGTGCCTTATGCTGGACATACTTTCGCAGCTGCTGCTTAGACATCTCGTGCAAGCTCAACTCTTTCCAGCACCACGGTGATGATTGCTCCATAGCTCAGTCTTTCCTGGCCCTGCGACCCTATCTCTGGCTACGCCAGAGCTTGAGTCCTTGAAGAGCGGCATCTATGGCTGGGAACCTATCAGGCCTCAATAGGCGAATGTGAAGCAACGCTCAACACCCCCCGCTTCGCGAAGGTGGTGCACAAGAGCGAAGTCAACCTTTGCGATACTCTCACGTGAGCATCCAACCGTGCCGGTGGTCGATGATTTTCATATCGGACCATGCCTGCCTTACTGCTACCCCAACATTGTGAGAGTTTCCAACGTCGTTGTAGCGCTGGACCTTCTGGAGCGTGTGCTCGAACAGCCATTTCAAGGATGAGACCAAGGCACTGCTTGCGACTTCAGTGTGCTTCAAGATGCTCTGCGTGCCAATAGTGTCACTCTGCACCTGTGTCTGACTGCTACGCTCAGAAGCTGTGGCAAAGTCACTGCGATCCCGCGTTTGAGTGGCAACAGAAGTCGTCACACGTGGAACCCATGCTTCAAAGATGGTCGAGTGGAAAACCTGCGCCCCAGATATTCAGTTGTCAAACCGCACATCGCAGTGCCCACAGCTATGGCCCTGGACAATGCCCTGCTCACCCGCGGGGATGCTGCCCTTGTCTTGGAGCAGTCGAACACGAAGACCAACAAACTCTGGTTGCTCAATCAAAGGTTGCCAACTGCCAGTTAGATGAGGAGGTTGCCCCCCGGATGGATGCGCCGAAAGGCTATCCATTCTAAAGGCGGGCCGAGCTGCCGGCAGCTGGCTTTCCGAGACATGCGTAGGATGGTCCGTCTGCACTCCTCTAACCGGTCTCGCTTTGGGCCTCCAAGCGAATCCTGTGCCCGCCCTTGCCGCCGGAGAGGCCACAAGGCTCTTAACCTGTTTGTCTTGAAGTTGGCCCCTGTAGACATGTAAATATCGTGCGTCAGCTCCATGACGTGCCTTATGCTGGACATACTTTCGCAGCTGCTGCTTAGACATCTCGTGCAAGCTCAACTCTTTCCAGCACCGCGGTGATGATTGCTCCATAGCTCAGTCTTTCTTGGCCCTGCGACCCTATCTCTGGCTACGCCAGAGCTTGAGTCCTTGAAGAGCGGCATCTATGGCTGGGAACCTATCAGGCCTCAATAGGCGAACGTGAAGCAATGCTCAACAGGGTTTAGGGTTTCCCTAAACCCTAAACCCCAAACCCTAAACCCTAAACCCCGAAACCCCTAAACCCTCAACCCTAAACCGGGGGCTAACGGGTTTCAAGGCTGGGTTGCTAGGGTGTTCGGGTTTTCCATGCAGAAGATCTAGGGTTTCAAAAGGGGCGTCTGGATGCGTCTGGTCTGATGCCTTTTTGGGACTCCCATGGTCAGGGTTTGGGGTTTTTGGGGCTTGAGGCTTTGGGGTTTAGGGTTTGGGGTTGAGGGTTTAGGGTTCAGAATGTAGGGTTTAGGGTTTAGGGTTTAGGGTTTGGGGTTTAGGCTTCAGGGTAGGGTTCTTGGACTTGCGGTGTCCTTGGCTGTCGGGCTTAGAGCTTTTTGGCCTGATGTGTTTGTTGCTTTGAGGTGGCCGCGCTTGCCAAGAGTTAAACGTGGCTTTATGTGTAGGGCATAGGATAGCAAGGATGCCCAGAGCGGTACCCAACTCTTTTCTACCCCTAAACCCTAGACCCTAAACCCTAAACCCTAAACCCTAAACTCTAAAGCAACCGCAACATGGGACACCCCCGTTCTTCTCCTAGGCTTTTCTGGGGCCTACTAAAGACTGCGGGCCCTACTATGGGCCCGATGACTGCAGAGACCCCTGTGAGCCTAGGGTTTAGGGTTTAGGGGTTTTGGGAATCAGTTGCAGTGTCCCCAAAACGGCCCCAATTCGTATCTTCTACGGAGCTGCATGAACTGTATTGCTATGGGGTGCAGTGACCCCAAACTCTACAAACCCTATAACCCCTACAACTATAGACCCTATAAACCCTATGAACCCTATGAACCCTATCAACCCTATCAACCCGATGAACCCTGTAAACCCCATAAACCCCATAAACCCCATAAACCCCATAAACCCCATAAACCCCATAAACCCCCTAAACCCTAAACCCTAAACCCTAAACCCTACCCTGCTTTCCTAGTGAGCACGCTGCGGGGCCAGGTGTGGACGTGGCGACGCTGGAGCTGCGATTCAGGGGCCTACAGGGCCCGAAGTGCCCCCAAACCCTATGGGACCCTAAGCCCCTGCAAGCCCTAAGCTCTTAACCCTTAAGCCTAATTGAACCCTAAAACCTGTACAGCCTTTAAAGCCTATAAAGACCCTGTGAGCCTATTAACCCGTACCCTAAACCCTAAACCCTAAGAACCCTCCTCTGCCCTAAACTCTGACCCTTGAACCCTGTTTCCTGAACACAACTTACGCATAACTCACCTAAACCCAGATGTCTATCCACGGTCTTGACCTACATACTCAGAACCCGTGCTCTAAACCCCAAAGCCTATACCTGTACCCCAAACCCAAACCCCACCTGAACCTTAGAACCTCCCCAAAGCCGACGATATCGAGCCCCGGCCGTGTCGTCTTAAGGAGCGCTTCGAATGGAACCCGTGCCGTCACGGGCCGTCCGCTTTGGTTTGGCGCCTTCGCGCGGAACGTCGCTGGGTTTTCAGTGGCGGGTTTGGGGTTTAGGGTTTAGGGGTTTAGGGGTTTAGGGGTTTAGGGGTTTAGGGTTTAGGGTTTGAGGTTTGAGGTTTGGGGCTCAGGGTTTGGAGCTTGGGTTTTTCGGGGCCTGGGATTCTCGGGGTTCAGCAGTATTCTCGGGTTTTGGGGGTTAGTCCATTTTGCCGTCAGACTTTGTTATGGCTCAGGGCGTGCAGGCTTGGGTCTATTTGATTTCGCTACTTGGGGGTTCATGGCACTCCTGAATCATTTCTATCTGTACTTGTAACCATATTGACTAGGGCACTGAAGGGGCTGATAAGTGGGTTATAAGCACAGCTATAATTGGTTTAACCCGAAACCCGAAACCCGAAACCCTAAACCCTAAACCCCAGGCCCTAAACCCTATAAGTACAGTTCTACTTGGTTAATATAAGTGCCATGAAAAAGAAGCCGATCCTGGCAGCCGTGTCTCTCACGTCCTTTAAGCCCAGGACCCTAAAGGGTTTAGGGTTTAGGGTTTGGGGTTTAGGGTTTAGGGTTTAGGGCTTCAGATCCTCAGCCCTGAACCAGGAACCCAAAAACCCGAAATTCTAAGCTGCAACCGAGGCCAACTACATGCCCTTCGACAACACGCCTGGGAGCCCGGCGAAGCTTCTTCCTAAGGTTCAGCTGCGGAGCACCTACAATCTACATCAGCAAGCCCTGAAGGGCTAGGGGTTCTGAACTCAGGGATGAATTTGGGTTTAGGGTTTGGGGTTTGGGGTTTGGGGTTTGGGGTTTAGGCTTTAGGGTTTAGGGTTTAGGGTTTAGGGTTTGGGGTGTAGGGTTTAGGGTTTCGGGTTTAGGGTTTAGGGTTGGTCCCCACCAGCTTTCGCCCAGGCTTGTGGGCAGGGGGATGGGAATTTGTGATCCTTACTGTGCCTTCCCGTGTTTTTGAAGAACGGTGACTTCGTAGGCCCTAGTGCTGTGGCAGACTTATTCAGGCTCCTTGATGGGTCCTATAGCGGAGACAGAGGAACCTACCCCGCCGGAAGCAGCGCCCTAGACCCGCAAGTCATAAATCCTCCTGAGCAACGCCGTCCCTAAAAAACCCTAAACCCTAAACCCTAAACCCTAAAGCCTAAACCCTCTCAAGCACTGCTGCCTTCTTTTCGGGAGGTGGCTGCTCGTGGTGCTGGGGGACCGAAGTGATCAGGACCACCCCTGCACCTCTGCCCCCCCCCCCTGCCCCTCTTCCCTCTTCCCTCTTCCCTCTTCCCTCTTCCCTCTTCCCTCTTCCCTCTTCCCTCTTCCCTCTTCCCTAAACCCCAAACCCCAAACCCCAAACCCCAAACCCCAAACCCCAAACCCCAAACCCCAAACCCCAAACCCCAAACCCCACAAGAAATGCAGGAGCGGCCGGTCTTCTCGGGCTCCAAGCTGCTGGACGTGGCGGGGCTGGAGCCGGCCTCGGTGGCTGCTGTGGGGGCTTAGGGTTTCGGGTTTAGGGTTAGGTTTAGGGTTTAGGGTTTAGGGTTTAGGGTTTAGGGTTTAGGGTTTAGGGTTTAGGGTTTAGGGTTTAGGGTTTAGGGTTTAGGGTTTAGGGTCTAGGGTCTAGGGTCTAGGGGTTCAGGGTTAGGGTTTGGGGTTCAGGGTTTGGGGTTTAGGGCTTAGGGTTTGAAAGGTTTTCAGGTATGGGAATCTTGTTTCCAGCCGTTAACGTTGCAAGGGAACAGGGCCGTTCGGGTTTATAGGGGTTTTAGGGACGACTTCTGTGTGCAGTGTTTAGATAAGGTGCATTGGGTGCACCGGGCTTTGGGTTTAGTATGACAGGTTCCTTTCAGGGTTTAGTATGAAAGGTTCCTTTTAGTGTTCGGGGTTTAGGGGGGAGGCTTCAGAACTTCAAGCCGAAAAAGCCTTCACGCCCTAGAACCATCCAGAATTCTGTAACCCGAAGCCCCTACCCCAACGCCTAGACATCATACACCTTAAGCCGTAGCGAAAGCCCTGAACCCCCCCAGAATCCCTAAACCCGAAACCCTAGACCCTAAGCCCTAAACCCTAAACTTCCCTAAACCGTAAACCCTAAACCCTAAACCCTAAACCCTAAACCCTAAACCCTAAACCCTAAACCCTAAACCCTAAGCCCTAAGCCCTAAACCCTAAACCCTAAACCCTAAACCAACCTGGTACAACTCTTAGCCCAACGATGGCCTTTTCAGCGCGCGGCCTCAGGAGGGATATCAGCTCCTCAAGCTTTCCTGAGCAAGGCCCCCGAAAGGGTGAGGTGTGCAGGGTTTAAGGTTTAGGGTTTAGGGTTTGGTGTTTAGGGTTTAGGGTTTAGGGTTTAGGGTTTAGGGTGCAGGCTTTAGGCCTAGGGCTTAGGGTTCAGGGTTTGGAGTTTAGCGTTTAGGGTTTCGCTTGGGGCAGGGCAGGGTTTAGGGCTGAGGGTTTGTCGAGTTCAGGGTGTTGGGGGGCCTTGGTGCCATTGAAGCCATGCGCTAAACCCCACACACCCGGGAAGCCTGACGATTTGGGAAATCTGGCTTGTAGTACCCCCTCTTCTAATCCCTATGAAGGACTGTTAGTATTTGTGTTTATATATAAACGGGGGGACATCCCAATTTCTAAGGCAACCACAACCCTTGTTCCCTTCTGAAAGTCTTCGAACATCCCTTGTGAGTTCATTCTATCAAAAGATGCACGGGGTTGAGGGTTTGGGGTTTAGGGTTAAGGGCCGGGTTTAGGGTTTAGGGTGTAGGGTTTAGGGGACAACCCAGTGTCGGTGTTGACCGAACGACTAAAACACGAAAGTCTAAACTCTGGACCCTAAACCCAAGACGACCCGAGACATTAAGCCCCAAACTCTAGACCCGAGACCCTTGTAAACCCTAAAACCCTAAGCCCTAAGCCCTAAGATCGACTTGGAGGTTCAGGGTACTTACCCCTGAAATATTTGGGGTATAAGTACAGTTGTAATTTGGTTACTCAGTACCATGAGCCTCCAAGTAAGCCCCTAAGCCCGAAACCCGAAACCCTAAACCCCCTTCCCCCCCAGGCGGCAGCAACAGGCGCTGGGTACAAGGATTCTTGAAGTGAGGGCCCTTGCGGTGGGGCCCTCTGTGGGATCTTGCCTTCACCTGGCGACGTTTGACGTCAAGTTGCTCGGCTTTTGTTGAGGAAATTAGCACAAAGGTTTAGGGTTTAGGGTATAGGTTCAAATTTGGGGTCTAGGGTTTAGGGTTTAGGGGTTTAGGGACAATAAGGGTTTAAGGGTTTTGTTACGGACACCATGAAGTTACCATGAACTACATGTTGGTATGTGTTTCTGACCAAAAAAACCCCAGGGCAATGAGTGAACCTCGCCGTCCCGCTGCATGAGCTCAATACCTCAACAACTCCAAGCAGTGTCGAGGAGGAGACTAGGATGCCCAGTAGTGCCCTTATTCCCTTTCTATTGGGTTCTTATCCCATACAGAAAACCCCTACAAACCAAAAAGGGTGCCCTTTGTTCTCCTAGGTTACTGGGGAACCCAGGAGAGCTTCAAGGGCCAGTTTTCCAAGGGGTGCTTGGTCACTGTCTGGGGGCGGAAGTGCGCCATCTCAGATCGGGCGTGCTCTGTGCGCAAGCCCCGGTGGTCTTCGGATTTGGCACTGCTCCCACTGGGAGGCTGACAAAAAAAAAGCAAGAAGCTGCCTGTGGCCCAAAAAGGCCCGACAACGCTGCTCTGGTGCAGCTGGATCAACTGTGTGGGGGGGGAGCCCTGAAGAATCGTGGAGTTCTACAGTTTCTCGTCGCGCACGAGGCGCGCCTGGTGATTCCGACGCGCTTCAGGAGTTGGAGCTCGCGTTGCGGCACCGGCCCAAGCTGACTGTCGTGGCAACGTCCCCAGGGACATCCTGTGATTCAGGGGCCTGTAGATGGACTACGTAGTTTTTGGTAGCAGAACCCCGGAAGTAGCATTGAGAGCCCAGGTAAAGCGCCCCATGTGCCCCTATATCAAACCGTAAAAAGCCCCCAGCCCGAGACTCAATTTTGGGTCAACTTTGCTGCAGGCGCCCAGAGCCAGAAGAAGAAAAATGAGGGTTTGGCGGCGAGCTCTTCTTGCAACTCAAGCAAAACCAGGGTCCCAAAGCTTGCACCCCTGCGCCCAAAACTCTACCACGACCCCCCCCCCTCCCACCATCTCCCACCAAGACAAATAAAACTCGTGATCCACGCTCAAGCCCCTAAAGCCTCCTAAGCCCCCCCGGCAAAACTGCAGAAAGGGATAAAAGACCGGGTTCCAAGCCCTCCCTGCTTCACAAGCCCCCGAAGTCCTAGTATAACCCCCCTCGGGATTTTTTCTCAATTACATTTTTGTTTACATAAGCCCCAAGAGGATATTAAAAATCGTATTTTTATTAAGGTTCTCGAATCTTTGGGTGTGAGGCGCGTGCTTAGGGTTTATCGGGTTTAGGTTTTATAGGGTTTAGAGTTTCGGGTAAACCCAGATACGACCCGAAACCCTCTTCCCCTGGACCCTCAAACCGCAAAACTAAGTGTGGGTTAGTTAAAAAATTCGGGTTCTTTTGAGGGCCTCTAAGCAGTTCCATGACCATCTGATCACAGTTCATCCAGTTCCCTGGGGGATGTGGAACGACCCCTGGTAGGACGACCTCTTGTTAAGACTTTTGATCACAGCCCCAAATACCTCGCCCGCGCACAGCATTAAGCCTCAAACCCTGCTCAGGATTTTGCACCCTTGTGGTTTTAGGGTCGGTTTGATTTTTTTTTGGGCGTTTCGGGGCTGCAAACTCGAGCACCCCCCCGAACCCCAAACCCTGACCTTGCAACCCCCCCCCTCCCCTCCCCCTACACCCCACGCAGCATCACCTTCGCCGATGGCCTGAAAGTCACGGGGCACGTCCTGACCGATGACGTGACCATTGGAGGGTTGCAGGCCGCGGCTATTCAGGTATATTCAGGTTTTAGGACTTGGGAACATAGCCGTTAAAATGGTTTCCCTACTCTGGAGACTTAATTCAGTTAAACACCCTAAACCTCTAGCCGCATCACCGGCGCAATCTGGTTTTGCGCTGGATCTTCCACATTGAAGGTTGCCCGCTCTGTGGCTTACCGGCAAAGATCCCCGACTATAGCAAGAGATCGAATGTCGGGGGCACCCTAAACCCCTCAGCCCTAAGACCCTAAACCCTAAACCCTAAACCCTAAACCCTAAACCCTAAACCCTAAACCCTCTAAGCCCTATCTAGGGTTCAAGGCTCCGACTTGGCTTTACTTGTGCTGGGGTGGTGGATGCATCGAGGGGTACAAGGAGGGACCCCTAGAAGGGACCCTTCATCTTATTCCTCTACAGAACCCCTATACGTACTTCATATAGTCCCTCTATACCTAAGTAGCCCCCAAACAACCCCTAAGTAGCCCCCAAACAACCCCTAAATCGCCCCTAAATAACCCCTAAGTAGCCCCGGAATAACCCCTAAGTAGCCCCTAAATAACCCCTAAGTAGCCCCGGAATAACCCCTAAGTAGCCCCTAAATAACCCCTAAGTAGCCCCGAAATAACCCCCTCAGTAGCCCTTAAATAACCCCTAAATAACCGCCAAGCAGCGCCTAAGAACCCCTAAAGAGCCCTAAGGTCCCCCGTAAGGGTTCCTCCTTTAGTCCCTTGACATAGGTTTAGGGTTTAGGGTTTAGGGTTTAGGGTTTAGGGTTTAGGGTGTAGGGTTTAGGGTTTAGGGTTTAGGGTTTAGGGTTTAGTGTTTAGTGTTTAGGGTTTAGGGTTTAGGGTTTAGGGTTTAGGGACATGGTCCCCGTCGCTGCCGACTTTCTTCGTGCCGCATGGGCTTTGAGGGCGCGGACGCACCAGGAGCTAGCAGCACATCAACCCTGAACCCCTAAACCTTAAACCCTTAACCCTGAACCCTAGCCCTAAACCCTAAACCCCTGAACCTCTGAACCCCTAAACCCCAAACCCCAAACCCTAAACCCTAAATCCTAAACCCTAAACCCTAAACCCTAAGCCCTGATGAAAGTCTTAGAACTTGGACCCCCTCCCACCACTCGGGTTGACGTAACTTGGGGGCCCCCTACAGTCGGCAAGAGCCGCATGGCCTCAGGGCTTAAAGGTTTTAGGTTTAGGGGTTTAGGGGTTTAGGGTTCAGGGTTCAGGGTTTAGGGTTTAGGGTTTAGGGTTTAGGGTTTAGGGTTTAGGCTTTCGGTTTTAGGTTTTAAGGTTTAGGGTTTCGGTTTCAGGTTTTGAGGTTCAGGGTTTTGGGATTTTGTGGATTTAGGAAGGTGCTACACCCGGACGCCCCATCGCGCTGCAGGCTTTTTGAAAACCCCCGAAGCCCTCAACCCTCGGTGGGACTTTACCACAACTTTATCACTTTATAAGTCTTGGGGGTTTAGGGTTTAGGGTTTAGGGTTCCTCTAACTTCATATTAGGGAAGCTGAAGGTTAGACTTCTATTGGGGGGAAGAGCCACCAGGAACCCATCTAAACCCTGCAAGGTTTTCAAGACCTTAGCCAACGCCCTTCACAAGAAAGCCCTAGACCCCAAGCCCCAAACCCTAAACCCTAAACCCTAAACCCAAAGAGGAAAAGTAGGGCGAGCTTGATTTGCTGGAATTAACCTGCCCTAGCCGGGCCTCCCGCGGCCATGGGCAACTCCGCCGGGGCCTCGTGCTCTGGGGTTTAAGGGTTTAGGGTTTAGGGTTTAAGGTTTAGGGTTTAGGGTTTAGGGTTTAGGGTGTACGGTTTAGGATGTAGGGTTTAGGGTTTAGGGTTTAGGGTTTAGCGTTTAGATCGCACGGTTTGGGCAGTACCAGAGAGGGGCCCCCTTGCAACACTGCCTGTAGCCAAAAAAGCAAAACATTCTCTTCTGCCCCAAACCCTAAACCCAAAATTTCAAACACGTTTAGGGCCGTCAGCACTCGACTTTAAAACTGTGCTTCTAGAAGAGCCCCAAGGCCCAAGGCCCTAAACCCTAGACCCTGAACCCCAGACCCTGTTTTGTGGCCTGGACTTCATGGGGTTCTTAACATAGCTTTTGGGTTGTTCAGGGAAAGCTTCAAGGTGAGTTATGGGGTGCGGGTGTTACGGGGTTTGGGGTTTAGGGCTTAGGGTTTTAGGGTTTGCTGTTGAGGCTTCATGGTTTCGGGTTGAGTGCCCTGATTTGTTGTTGAGGGCTTCTAAACCCTAAAACCTAAACCCTAAACCCTAAACCCTAAGAAATTCTAAGATACCAAGCTCCAGGCACCCCAAGTCCCAATGCCAAAGCCCATAAAGTTTCTGAAAAAAGCAGAAGCCCTGAGCCAGAACCCCCCCCATAGACATACATTTATGTATACACACATATATATATATATGTATATATATATATATACTTTTATGTTTATTTATTCATAATACTTGTTCATGAATGCATACACATTTTTTGTTGTAGGAGAAGCCCAACACCCCAAACCCCAAGCTGCTGTGGGTTTACCTAAACCCGAGACCGGAAACCCTAAAACCCAAAAAGCACAAATGCCGCACCAATGGCCGAAATATTAAGCCCCCCCAAGCCCTACACTTCAAAGGGCTAAAGGAGGGACCCTTATAAACTAGACCTTAGGGGAACTACACGAGATACTTAGGTATATGGTGACCTCATATTGTAAATATATATATATGTATATATATATGTATATATATGTGTATATATATATGTATAATATATATATATATATACGCAAGTGTGTGTATACATATAGTAAATGAATAAAGTACATAAACAAACAAACAAGTAAAGAAATAGAGAAATAAATAAGGGTCTTCGGGGTCTTTCCTGTTATCCCTTTAACCTAACGCCCGACAACTTGAGCCCCTTAAAACCTCAATCCTAAACCCACAAAGACCATTGAAGGGGCGTGAAGGGGGGGGCTTCCTGAAGGGGGGTTGCTCGAGAGAGGTCCTTCAAAGGGTTTACTGCACAAGGTCAATCCCTAAAGCCCCAAACTCCAGGCAACCCAACAACCCCTAACCCTAAACCCTGAACCCTAAACCCCTTCTTCCCTCACAGAAAACGCCACTGCCGAGCCGATCTCTGAAGGAAAGCTTGGCCGTCGAAGGTCCCGGCGCCAAGGCCTTTTCTTGCGGGAACATGTTTGGGGGGTTTAGGGTTTAGGATTTTGGGGTTAGGGTGTAGGGTTTAGTGGTTCAGGGTTTAGGGGGTTTAGGTTTAGGGGTTTAGGGTTTGGGGGGTTTTGTGGGTTCACGGGGTTTAGTGGGTTTAGTGGGTTTAGGCTCTAACTAGGGTTGTTTAGTCGTACGGTTTTACTGTTTAAGGTCTTGACCCTACAACGGCCCTCAACGCTGAACCCAGAACCTACACCCTGAAGTCTAGCCCTAAACCTCCCCAGGCTGTCGGTGTCTAGGCCACCACGGCAGGCGTTGCTGGAGATGACCAAGCCGAAGCGCATCGAGATCACCGACGGCTTCTGGCCTTGAGCTGAGTTTGCTTTAGAGGGTTTAGGGTTTAGGGTTTAGGATGTAGGGTTTAGGGTTTAGGTTTACTGGGTGGTCGTGTGGGTGCCCTTTAGGGGTTTGTCTAGGGGCCGTCTGCAGTCACGACCCTTTTTCCTTTTGATGAGCATCCATACTGAGCCAACAAAAGTTCGGAGCGTGAGATGCCTATAACCCTATACACCCTTTAATCCCTGAAGCCTTATACCTCTACAACCCTATAACCCCCTATAAACCCTCAACTCTGAAACCCGTTAGCCCTAGAAAACTCAAAACCTTATACAAAGTACTATCAACTCCTTTCCCTGAGGGTCTTGGAAAAACAGCCCTAAAGCCTAAAGCCTAAAGCCTAAAGCCTAAAGCCTAAAGCCTAAAGCCTAAAGCCTAAAGCCTAAAGCCTAAAGCCTAAAGCCTCAAGCCTCAAGCCTCAAGCCTCAAGCCTCAAGCCTAAAGCCTAAAGCCTAAAGCCTAACACCTAAAGCCTAAAGCCTAAAGCCTAAAGCCTAAAGCCTCAAGCCTCAAGCCTCAAGCCTAAAGCCTAAAGCCTAAAGCCTATAAAGCCTAAAGCCTATAAAGCCTATAAAGCCTATAAAGCCTATAAAGCCTATAAAGCCTATAAAGCCTATAAAGCCTATAAAGCCTATAAAGCCTCAAGCCTAAAGCCGCTAGCTTCTTCGGCCGCTTCAGAACTCGGCTACATCACCGAGGAGTTTAGGGTTTCCAGGGTGTCAGGGTTCGAGGGTTAAATAGGTCCTGCAATAAAGACATTTGGGTTTAGGGTTTAGGGTTTAGAGTTTAGGGTTTAAGGAAATCACAGCTGCGATGTGGAAAGTTTAGAGTTGTCAGTTGAAGGTGCCCCCCCCCCCCCCCCCCCCGCACACACACACAAGGTTTAGGGTTTAGGGGGGATGGCAAGCCGAACAGAAATTTCCAAGGGAACAGGTTGTGTGACCCTAAATCCTAAACCCCAAACACCAAAAACCCTAAACCCTTGAATGAGCGGGCGCCGCCATCGACGACGAATCTTCACGGCGACCGTCGTGGCCGAGAAGGACCGACTTCTGCAAGTTGAGGGTTCGCTTGGGGGTTCGTAGGCAGGTATACTAAGTATCGTTACAAGAACCCGTTACAAGTACCCTAAATAGGGGTATAAGTATAGCTACCATAATTCTAACCCTACTTATAACTGCCCATGAGCCTCCAAGCAGAGTTTGGGGTTTAGGTTAGGGAAGGGTTTGAGGATTGGTGATCTGCGTGCGTTGCAACCTGCATGTACAGGCACAGAAGGCCTGACGTTGACAGCTGACGCTTTGCAGGCACTTGTTGATCCATGAATGCAGGCGCAGCTTCTTGGCTCCTATCGCATCTAGGTGGCGCGGTTTCATTGCTTGCAATGATGGCCAAGTGGCTGCTGCTTTGCAGTCTCAACGTCCTCAGTGCGCGCGCAGATCATCACTGCACCAAGGGACGGCTCTTCATCTCTGACAAGAACGAGGCCAAGCTGCACGTTCTTGACCTGGATGATATGTCGACTTCCGCAACCTTCAACGTGCCGATTCCAGGAGCACGCTTGCTGGCTACGGACACAGACATGGCCACGGTCCTTTGTGTTGACCGCGGGACTGACCAGAAAGGATCAGTACACTTCTTCAACCCCGGTATTTCTCAGGATGACCACGGCGATCATGTAGATGTTGTCAAGAGTACCCCAGCTGCGTACGACTTCAACGTGACAGGTTGGAAGCCCACGCACCTGACCTACTCAGCTGGCTACATGAGCGTGTTCATGGATGGCGTTTGGTCTCCAAATCCGGACGATGAGATGCAAAACTCATCTGCCGTCTTCGTCAAAGAGTCTAGCTTGTCCACAACTCCATCCCTGCTTGAGGTGCCCGTTGAGGGAGCTCACCATGGGGTAGCTTATGCACTCAGCGACGACCATTTCGTCGTGTCAGTAACAACCACGCCGAGGCTCACGCGCGTCTCGGGCGCGTCGTCCTTGCCAGACCATTTTGTTGTGACAGGTCGTTCGGGCGAAGTCCTGACCGAACTAGGCAACGCCTCCTCACCAAGCTGCCCGGCATTTCACGGCGCGGCCTATGTCGGCAATACTCTCGTCACCGGCTGCGCAGGTTCCTGGTTCCGCATGACTTTCACAGGCCAAGCCGCAGAGCCCGCAACATGGGAGAAGGTCGCATTTCCAAGCCCTCCAGATGCTACAGGAGTGGCATTCAGGTCTGGAACAGTAAGGAAGAACAAGGTGGCTGGACTCTTCGTCGCTGACCTCTCCCCGCTGGACCGTTCTCCCACACCCAGATATGTGGCATCCATGTCTGCAACTGGCAGCGTGGCTGCCGGCAACTTGATGAAGACAACCCGCTACCCAAATGACAATGATGCGTGCCATTGGCAAGTGGACCTGGCGTCCGATGCAGCTGGAACACATGTGGCCGTGTTGAGCAAGGACGGGAATCTGTCTGTGGCGGAAGTGAGCGCCAATGCAGCTGGGACTCCGGTGGTCGCGCCGGTCTTCGAGAGCGCAATCGACTGTGGAGACACAGCCATGGTTGCGGGTCATGGAGTGATGTACATCATCGTTGCTGGCGACACCCCGCGTCTTCTCACTGTCAGCCTTGCTGAGGTTCTTGCCGGCCACGCAGAGCATGCTGTGTCGACCCAGGCTTTGGCGTTCACGCCCTCGACGCAGGCTGCTTTGGCACTGCCACCCTCCGTGGCATGCGCGTCACCAGCCCATGATCATGACCATGGCAGTGACTTAGTAGCTGAGTGAGTACACTTTACACTTTTTGGGATACTAGAATCTCTACAAAACCAGAAGTGTACCCTTGTTTTTGGGGGCTTATGAACTCAGCAACTAAGGTGAAGAGACTTCGGGCACCACCTCGATGCTGACATCTTTGTGGCCACTGCTTCTCGCAGCGTCCCTGTGGAGCCGCTAATTAATTTAGGAGTAGATTTTTCAGCTGTGCAGGCACGGCTCTGTAACAGCTTGAGGTATCAACTTTTCAACAATTTGAGGATTTTATCCACGAGGCGGTGTGTTCTGGGAAAGCCCGAGACGATTTCTCCGATTTTTTGTGTTTGCTCTTGGAAAGTGCGGGATGCGCGCGGCAGCAAGGACGTGCTGCGCGAGCTCCAGGAGGTGTGGCGTGCCTGCAAGGCCGCAGCTATCACATAGAAGCTGTCGCTGCAAAATGGGGCTCATGGCACGCAATACTCGGTAGACCCTTAGGATAATTTCACAGTTTCCCTTATGCTACCCTAAACCCTAAACCCTAAACCCTAAACCCTAAACCCTAAACCATGCGAGGAGTCCAGGCTTCAGACTGTCCGCGGGTCCACGGTGAGATCCACGATTGACCTCTACGACTTCCACCCCGGGGGGGGGGGGGTTAGGGTTTAGGGTTTGGGGTTTAGGGTTAGGGTTTAGGGTTAAGGGTTAAGGGTTCAGGGTTGGGGGTTTAGGGATTAAGGTTCGGGGCGTTCGGGGTTTAGGGTTTGGGGTTTAGGGGGTTCGGGCTTTGGCGTAGGGTTTATAGGTCTTCAATCAGGGTTCGGGTATCCATGTCTTCCGTACTTCAAAAACCTGCAACGGAAAGCCGACACGGCAGGCAACGGCCCGGGATATATAGCTTCAAGCCTTCAAAAGCACGTAATTTAGGGACTGATGAAGGTTTAGGGTAATGTTACTTGCCTATCCTAGTCCTAGCCACTAACATGGAGACCCTCTACTGCCCGTTGAGTATTTCTCTCCACCCCCGAAGAAGTGGAAATAAGTTCAGAACCCTGAGCCCCGAAGCCCTAAAAAATCCCCAGGCCTTGAAACCCGAAAACCCTAAACCCTAACCTTAAACCCTAAAACCCTAAAACCCTAAACCCGAAACTCTAAACCCTAAGCCCACCTCTACACCCTTTAAGCCCCAAAACCGTAAGTTCCTTCTCGGAACCCTGAAGCCGCCCTCAGCCCCCAAAATCCCAAGCCTTGCACCCCTAAACCTTTAACCCTAATAACCCTAAACCCCAAACCCTAAACCCTACAAAACTAAACCCTAAACCCTGAACCCTAAACCCTAAACCCTATACCCTAAACCCTAAACCCCAGCATGCTAAACCCTTTTAGCCCTGAGCCCTTGAAGCTACTTCACTTCTCAGCCTAAATCTTAAGCCCTGAGACCCTGAAACCCTGAAACGCCTAAGCCGCTAAGCCCTGAGACCGCTAAAGCCCTTAACCCTTAAACCCTGAAACCTGAACCTTAAACCCCTAAACCAGAAGCCCTGAACCCCATATGCCTGAACCCTAAAAACCCCTGAACCGTCAACCCTGAAACCCTAAACCCCTCAACATGAAACCCAAAACCGTCGACCCTGAAACCCAAACCCTAAACCCTAAACCCTAAACCCTACACCCCAAACCCTAAACCCTAAACCCTAACCCCTAAACCGTGAACCCCTGAACCCCTGAACCCCTGAACCCCTGAACCCTCCGCCCTGAAACCCTAAAACCCAGCTTGAGGTCCGAGCTGTTGAAGGTGCAACTGCCAGGCCGATTGCTTTTTTTAGGGTTTAGGGTTTAGGGTTTAGGGTTTAGGGTTTCAGGTTGCCATTTTTTGTGTGGGTGTCAGGGGTTACAGGGTTGGAGGTTTCTAGGGTTTAGGGCTTCAGGGTTCGGGAAGGGTTTAGGGCTTTAGGTTTGGGGTTTAGGGTTGAGGGGGTATTTCGGCTTCTTGGCTTGAGGGCGTTTAGGTTTGCTGTTTGGTTTTGTGGGGGATGGAAGGCTCTTTCGGGTTTATTTTTTTAGGTGTTTCAAGGTGTAGGTGGGGTCCAGCATTCAGGGGTTTAGGGCTTTCGGGGTAGGTGCTTTGGGGATCTTTGGGGGTTTTTGAGTGTTTTGGGGGAGTGTAGCGTTCTCAGGGTTTAGGGTTTCATGACTTCTGGGTTCGTCAGTCTAGCGTAGGTACATCTTTGGCGCAAGCGCCAAACCCCTGATACTTCACACACCATGGCACTTGCGCCTTTAAAGCCATCCTGCAGGCAAGCCAATCGCCCCAACAGCAACGACAACAAGAAGCAAAGCCCTAAAAAGCCTGCCGGTCACTTGGAGGTTCATGATACTTATGAACCACTCATAGCTGCACTTGTAACCCACCTATAATCCCCTTAGGTGCCCAAGTATGGTTAGAAGTACACTTAGAAGTACAGTTATGATTGGCTAATAAGTACCATGAGAACCTCCCAGTCGGCCCAGAGCACGCCGCGTGCTCAGACGCCACTGGTGCTGCTCAGTCTGAAGGCAAAGCAGCTGCAGCAAGCCGGTGGAGTTGAAGGGCCGTACCCAATTGGGTTTAGGGTTTATGGTTTAGGGTTTCGGGTTTCAGGTTTAGGGTTTAGGGTAACCTTGGAGGTTCATGGTACTTATTAACCAATTAAAACTGAACTTAGAACTGTACTTGTAAGCCCCTTAAGTTCCCTAATATGGTTAGAAGTACAGGTAAAAGTACAGTTAGGATTGGTGAACCTCCAAGTAAGCCCGATTTCAACACCCCCCCCCCCAAAAAAAAAAAAAAAAAACGGAACTACAACTACGAGACATGCATGATCCAGAATTGCAGGCTCTTAAAATCTTAGCCCTAAACCCAAGACCCTGAAAGCCGGAACACTAAACCCGAGACGCCGAGACCCAAACAACCTAAAACATAAGCCCCAGACCCTAAACCCTAGAACCTAAACCCGAAACCCTAAACCCTAAACCCTAAACCCTAAACCCTAAACCCTGTAAGCCCTAAACCTGCCCATGGAGAACTGCAGGTTCCACGAAGCCCGGTTTCTTTGATGCCCACTACGCCGAGCCTCTGGTCCTGGAGGGGGTCGTGTGGGCCATGCCTGTGTTGCCCTAAACCCTAAACCCTAAACCCTAGACCCTAGACCCTAAACCCTGAACCTTTTTTGAAAGAACGTAAGGGCCCATATTAAGGGCCCATGATACCTCCCGTAATCTGGCTTAAAACCCCCTCAAGAAGAAGCCTGCTCGATTTCCCAACCCCCCCCAACCTTGCATCTGGCACTTTTCTAGGTGGGGTGTGGGGTGTGTGAGATCCCTTCTTAGGCGTTGGGGGTCAGATGTGGGGGTTTACGAAAAATAAGGGACCCCAAAATAGACCCCTAACAGCAGGATTCCCATATAATAAGGACCCGTAAGGAACCCTAATTTCGACAAGCCCCATGTAGGAAGCTAGAGAGTTTTCCTATCATCGGGCTGGGAGAAGGGCAGGATTACAGTATTCAGAGCTTTGACCAGGATCAGGATGCTCGGGAGGAGGGGAGTGGGCAGACAACCACTGCGGGGTTTAGGGTTTAGGGTTTAGGGTTTAGGGTTTAGGGTTTAGGGTTTAGGGTTTAGGGTTTAGGGTTTAGGGTTTAGGGTTAGGGTTTACCCTAAACCCGAAACCCTAAACCCCAAACCCTAAACCTTAAACCGTCTTAACTAGGACCCAAGTATGAGGTTGAGGGGCTTGGAATTGTCGAGTCTTTGGGGTTTGGGGTTGGGTGCTGCTCAAGAGACTCACTCTACTTCTAACATGAGGGAATCGGATCCTCAATCCAAAGTTGCAGTTGTAATCCTAAACTCGCACATGGTTAGTTCTCTACATCAAGTCCTGTTGGGAATCCTGGCTTGTGCCGGCTGCTTGCATGACCTTCGGCTGTTCAGAAGAAAAGCTCCCTTAGGGACAACACTAGCCTTACAGTGGGATCAGGTACCCAGCGCCCTGTGCTACATTCTCTCTAATTAAGGTCTATAGGTTCATTTCGTCCACAAAGGTCACCCAAGCCAAGGCGCAAGGCCAAAGTATGGCCGACCTCGCACCAGGATTTCGGGCCATGCTTCGTGGGTCTCCAGAAGAAAGGAAGGTCAAACGTCAGCGCCTTGACGAGTTTGACGGCCTTACTGCCTCCCGACAGTTAACGGTCCACGGTCTCGATGGTTCCGAAGTGCAGCTTCCTTTGGAAGACAACATGACCGTGGAAGATTTGCGCAAGAGTGTCGCAGGAAGGATCAGCTTGCGGTTAGGTGGCGTGCTTGTCCTGGCGGCTGGTGGCAGAACCCTGGACGATTCCAAGCCGCTGTTGGAACAAGTTCAGGGCGATGTCATCACGTATGTGGTTCAGCAGGTTGCCCTTGCTATGCTTAGATATATGTTTCCCTCATGGAAAGGTGCAAGAGGAACCTGTTTGGGGATTTTTGTCGGAGGGTTTAAGGGGACAACCTAGGTTGGTGCAGGGCACGCAGCAGCTGCGTTTCTGCGAGCAAGTGACGGCCAACGCTTGAGCATGATGGACGTACATGCAAAGGATGCAATCTCTTCGTTGGAGTTCTATGGCGAGCGCAGTCTCGAGAACGTCGAGCTGCCAAAGAACTTGCAGTCCTTGAGCTTCGGAAGCGCTTTCAACCAGAGGTTGGCGAACGTAACCTTGCCTGGCAGCTTGCAGTCCTTGAGCTTCGGATGTTCTTTCAACCAAAGCTTAGAGAACGTGACCTTGCCTGGCAGCTTGCAATCCTTGAGCTTCGGAGACGATTTCAACCAGAGCTTGGAGAACGTGACCTTGCCTGGCAGTTTGCAGTCCTTGAGCTTCGGATATTCTTTCAACCAAAGCTTAGAGAACATGGCCTTGCCTGGCAGCTTGCAGTCCTTGAGCTTCGGAGGCGATTTCGACCAGAGTTTGGAGCATGTGGCCTTGCCTGGCAGCTTGCAGTCCTTGAGCTTCAGCGATTCTTTCAACCACAGCTTGGAGAACGTGACCTTGCCTGGCAGTTTGCAGTCCTTGAGCTTCGGATATTCTTTCAACCAAAGCTTAGAGAACATGGCCTTGCCGGGCAGCTTGCAGTCCTTGAGCTTCGGAGGCGATTTCGACCAGAGTTTGGAGAATGCGGCCTTTCCTTGCA